TAAGGGCCAGAAGTGATTATTAAAGACATTATGTAAAGATCCAAGGAGTTTCTTAGAAACCATATTCTAATGACTATTCAAATATGTTAATTTCAAACATACATGAATGTAAAATTGGAAGATCAGCGTCATACTGAATGTCTGTATTATCCTGGTAGATAATACCAACACAAGAACTAACAATGTGAACATTTTACCTTTTACATAATCTGATCCTTGTTAGAAATAATGTATGTTTTACTAGTCAGCTGCCCACCAAGAATGATGGATTTCAAAGGAGTGTTTACATGGCCAGCCCCAAAGGGTGAGTTGAGGGCTAAGTGGGGTGGCCATGTAAGCACTCCCTCTACTGCCGCCACCTCCGCCTCCAGCCTCCAGTGCAGGGGCTCCCTTCCACCGCCTGCCTCCTCCCCAATGCAGCAGGGCTTCCTCCAGCCTCTGTGCCTCCCCTCCCTCCTGGCTGTTGGTGTTGTAACAGAAGTTGTGGGGTGCATGTGTCTGCTGGGCATGAGAGGGCATCAGAGCTGAGCAACGGGGGGGGGGGGGGGGGGGGGGCGCAGCGGCGGCACACTGCCATGACCTCTCCCGTTCGCCTCCCCCCATCCTGTGCCCACGCAAGCCCACACAGCCAATCACCACCCTCTCAGTGGTACTGGCAGAGTTGACAAAGAGCATTATGGACAGAGACACACACATAGACTAAGCCCTTTATATATATAGAATGCAATTGACTGATTTTACCATTTTTCTAATTAAAAGCTCTTCTGAGTAAGAGAGGGTTACAAACTATTTTCAATCACAATTTAAAAAAAGAACTCTTATAGAGGACAAGTAGATTGTGGAGAGCAGAGAAACCCCAGTTTCTTAAGCATCCAGGGCTTATAACTTGCTCAAAGGTAAAAAGAAAAAATAGAATAGGGCTTATTTTGGAGGAGATTATACAGTCAGAGAAGAGCAAACAGAACATTTAGAATATGAAAGTGTGCAAACCTGCTCACAAAAAGGCCTGAGGTTTATCCGGAAAGGGAATGTATAGCAGCTCGTTTCCTTGTATCGTTCACACTTCTCAAAATCAAAGTTAAACCTCAGGAGGGAGATAGTGAGAAATGGAGGCAACTTGCGTAGTTTGGCAGACTAACAAAATCAATAAAGAGAACGTTATCAAGAATTTACTAGAGAAACATCATTTCTATTATTTTATAAGTAACAGGCTGAGACTGTAAAGATAAGACCCCCTGCTGCAATCATACTTAGAAACCAATTACCCATCACATGAACTGGAAAGGGACTTGTCCACTTGGGAGTTCATCACTATACTTACACATATATTCAGCTTCTCTCTTACTCACTCTCTCTGGCTCTATGAATCACATATTCCTTCCAGCATAGCGGTTCAACTTAGAAGGAGTAACAGAGAAAGTCTTGCCTCCACCACAGTGATTAGGGTGCACCCAAGTCAGTGATTCTCAACCAGGGTACTCTGGCACCCTGGTGTGCCTTGAAATCTTTTCAAGGGTGCCAGAGGAAACCACACAATGTAAGCACCAGTACATATGCCACCATGATTCACAAAATAAACCCAGACATTTCAAACAGGAATCTGTAGGGTTACAAACATTCTGAAATGTCATGAGCTTTGAGTTCTTTTCATTAAAAAAATTACTCTTTTGTTTTCACTTTACTATTTTTCAATAGTGTTAAAAAAAAAACCCCCAAAAACCAAAAACAAAAACGAAAAAGACCCTGGAATTTTCCAAGGGATGCCCTGAGTCTAAACAGGTTGTGGTGAGGCATGTAGTTCTGAATCTCCTCTGACTGGCAGAAACTTAAAGGGCATTTAAAGGATCATTTAGAAGACCATTTAAAGGGCAAGCACCTAACCCATGGGAGCTTGTACACGTGAAGAAAATTGGCCATTTTTGCGGTTTAATTATGTCATGCTGTATACGTGTGGGGTTTTGTTTTTACGATTTAAATGAGTTTGTTACATACACATGTAGTTGTTTCCAGCATAGCTATTTGTAACATTGCAGCCTTTTGACAGCTCGTTGACCCTCACACCTCCCCAGCTGCAGGAGAGGAAGGCTGAAGGCAAAAATGGCGAGAGGCCCGATCCTTTTTACTTTTCCCTCTCACAGAGCCTGCCTGTGTCACCCAAGGCCAAGGGGCGAGCTGTTGGTGGTGGGACAAGTGGTCCCTGGTCCTTTCTTCTGTGGCAGTGGCACCCCCTGGGGTTGTCCAGGTGGGCAGCTAGTGGGTAGGTGCTACCCCAGCTTGCGGTTAGGGAACAGTTGGATCAGGCTGGGTGCTGCCTCTGAGCTGGGTCAGCACCCACCCACTAGCTGCCCACCCAGGCCGCCCCAGGAGGCACTGCTGCCGCAGAAGAAAGAACTGGGACACTCCTGAAGCTCAGGGCCTGCTGGAAGCTTGCCCTCCAGCTGCGAGAAAGGCAGGCAGGCTCCACAGGAGAGGAGGATCAGGCCCCTCGCTGCTCCCCCCCCCTTCCGAAGCAGAGCCTGCCTGCATGAGCTGCTGCTGGGCTGTGCAGCCACTGAGCTGCAGGGGAGCCTGATCCTTACCTCCGCAGTTACCATGCCCCCCAAGTGGGGTGCTAGCTGCACAGGTGCTGCCCTAGCCAGGAGGCAGCATCTGCTGGATCCAAGTCTTCCCTGAGCCAGCCCATGGAGCACCACCCAGCAGGCTTCCAGCACACAGGCTTGGTTAAGAGTTGGATTCAGCAGGCGCTGCCTGGCAGAAGGAAGGACTGCCCCCCCTGCAGTTCAGGGGCCACTCAGCCCACTGACAGTTTACACCCCACCCTGCTGTGGGAGATGTGGGCAGACTCCACGGGGTGTCGGGACTGGGGAGGAGGGGAGAGGAGAGGAGAGGATTGGGCCCCTCACTGTAACAGTGATGGAATCCCCTATATTGAAATGGTAGGTTTTTAATAGTTGCAATTAAAAACCCACTGTTTCAATTTGGGGACTAAACCCCCATCACGTGTACAAGTGCCTCATTAAGCTATTACATAAAATATCACTACTATTACCAGCCACAGCTGAAAAAGAAAACAAAGAGAGTCAGTTTATGGTATGTAAATGAAGGGATGAATCCGGGCACCTAAATTTGGACAGGGGTTTCAGGCTTTGAATCCCGGTCTCATAAAAAGGTACCTACCTCAGTGTTGCAATTAGATGCCAAAATTTGACAGCACTGTAATTTCAGACATATTCTTCTCCTTAGTGTCTCACATTGGCTGAGTTTTAGGTGTTCCCTGCTTGGTGTGCCAAGAACTATGACTCCTGTCCCAATACCCAATTCTGACCATGTGAAGTACAGGGATATTACATGTCCATTTTTCGTTTGGAAATTTCACTTTTGGATCTAATGCTCAACAACACCATACTTAGAGGGCCTTCATGAATGTTGGTCCAAGTGTCAACACTGATCCCTGGATCACTCGGTTTCTCCAAATGATATTTTAAAGTATCAGTAGCAATCCATATTCTGTTGTTCTATTCTAATCCCTTCTTCAATAGCTGTAAAACGGAACACTATGATCTATGTAACAAATTACCTTTGATGCTTCAACCAGTTTATTGCATGCTCCACATCGATATAGATTATCATTTTCAAAATATTCCTCTTCCACATACATGTTCCACAGGGCCTCCTCCAAGCCAGATACATTCTTTACAGCCACTGTTAGGTCTAAGAAATCTTCCTACATAATAGCAGAAAGTTAAGTAAATAAGTTCTGGAAATAAGCACAAATTTAATATCACAGAATACTACGGCACCTTTCTATAAAAGGTATAACAGATACAAAGGTAAATCATGAACCTGGATTACGGAAACCTTAATACTTAAAGAAAAGTAACAGGATAAAGGAGTAGGATTAAGTATAATCTGATGAAATAGGAATTGATTCTTAAAAGGAAATCGTGGTTATTAAAGAAGCAGCACACAATCAGAATAGTTAGAATAAATAAAATGTAAAATATTTAATAAGCTGCGAGTAAACAAAGATAATTTTACCGCTGCAACATAAATTACTTATTTCTCTGCTAAACTTATCTACTGTAGGTGATACTGTAGCAATATGGCAGTTTCTATTGCCTCAGTGAGTTCCCCCCCACCTCCCTGCCATGACTCATACCCACACTGCAGGCCAATTAGAAAATGCCAGTTAGGATGCAATGTGAATGGATGTCATGATTTTTCCTCATTTTTCATACTTCTTAAATTCTGCAGAGTCCTAGAAAACCTAAGATCTTCAGCAAACTAACCTGCTAAAAAAGTCACCAAATAAAGTATGCTACTAAAAACAGATGCTATTCTGGAACATGCCTAGGAATTTACCTGTCTCTCACTAATGTTCTTGCATTCTTTACAAACAATCTGGTTAACAAGAGTTCCATGGTACAGGCGATTAATAAGGTCATGGCCAGAAGTACCCACAAGGGAAGTTTCCAAAGCACTGAACAGAATCCGATTTAACTCCTGCACATCATGTTGCCTCACTTCCTGCAAAAAGAGAGGACAAATTTGACAAAACAAAAACTAGTGCATTCTAATTTTCTTATTATTATACATGTCACACTCAACTCTAGAATTTAAAACACGCACAACATACAGAGATATTTGATTTGGGGTATGTGTCAGGTAGCCAGTAGTGCTGATAAAAGAACGATGGAAGAAAAAAAACGATGCTTTAGAGCCTTTTCTAAGACTAGATAAAACTTCACTGGACTGGATTTATGGCTAAGAAAAAACTGTTAAAGGAGGAAAGCAAGGGGCTTACATCACTTTAAGCGAGATATTCTGTTCAGTGTAACAGTACACACACAATGAGTTTATAAGGCTGACAGGGAGATAAAAAACATGTTAACAACTGAGCTAAGTAAACTCGTCAGAACCCGCTCTCCAGCTACATGTTGGTAGGACCTTTTTATTTCTGTAACAGCTGCCATGCTTACTGCTGCCAAGCTTACTGCTGTTCCATGCATAAAACAATGTAGGCACGTCTACATGAGATGCATAACATGCAGAAGACTAATTCTACTGTGCATTTGCACGGCGGGCAAAACCCATGCTAATACGCAGTAGAATAAAACTACTGCACATTAATATCACTGCATCGCTAATGCATAGTAGCAATGATTACAGCACACTTAGTACCTGTCATTACAGGTACTAAAGTTAATGTGCCATAATTATGGTGCATTAATGGACATGTAGACGCGCCCTGCATTTATTGTTATAATAAATCAAAGATTAAATAAAACTGGCTCTAGTTTTGTGTCTTCTCAAATTTCTCCCCCTTAAATCCTACCACAATGCCTTTATCCAAATCTTCTGGGATTACATATCTAACCACTCAAAGAGAGAACAAGAAGAAAGCTTTATAAAGGAAGCACACAGGTAGTCAGTCATGTTAGTGTGAATTCATGGAGAAGGAATAGACTCAGTCCACTCCTAGCAAAAAATCTTGTACAAGGTACTGCAAACTAGTGTTCTGTACCTCATTGCTGCTCCATCCAAAGCTGTCAGTGAGGTCTGTTGTAGATGCAGCCTGCTGATCTAAGAGCAAAAGCTGAGCAAACAACCGTTGTAACTGTAATGGAATTATCCGAACCTAAATGCAAAATAGGGAGAGCGAGGGGAGGAATTAAAACAAACAAACAAACAAACAAACAAAAAATCACACTTAATATAAAATTAATTAGGATTTAGCACAGAACTCATAATTCTATAAAACACAAATAAATCTCTCTCTTGTAGCTTACAATGGTTAATCTTGTTCAGTCAAGCATCTCTGAAAAACATCGGTAAAAACTCATCTACACAGAAGAGCAAAATGATCAGCTTAAATTGAATCTATGTTATAAGCAGTAGCTTTCCGTTATACTTTTTAAGTTTCATTGTTTTCCAGTACGAAACAACCATAATAATTCTTTATGTTTTAATTTTTATTAGTAACCTGTGCTACAGAAAATGCTTTTTATGCCGACACTCTAAAAAACACTATTATTTTTGTTCCGATTTACAAAAAGAGTTCAGTTGATAAGCAGGCTACTTGTAGCATTCTGAGGGGAAAACAAATAATAGCAAAGTCTCTTTTCCAATGCTAGTAAGCATTTTCAAAATACAAATCAGACTTCAATCCTGTGACTTCTTATATGTGGAGAGAGAACTTAAAGAAGCACATTGCAATCAATGGAATATTCTAGTCACTATCCAGAAGTCGTATGTCAAAGCCTCAAATAGACAGGAAATCTGGAAGAGTACAGTAAAACAGTTTGGGCCTGTTTTTACCTGTACTCACGACAAAAGAATTTTTGCCAACTGATTCACAAAGATTGGAATCAAATCCCCAAATTTATTGCAAAAGGTATTGTTGCAAGGGTTTAGATCAGGGCATAAAACAGGATACTGGCTAACGAAACGCTTGACTTCTTACAGAAACCATATTTTCCACTAGCATCTGAAATGTTATTTCCCCTTGAATCAAACTCCAGCAAACAATAATTAAAAGATTTGAACACCTTTGCATCTGGTTTATTGTTATCTTCCAGAGAACCAAGTTCTTCAGGGCCTAGAGAAAACAGTGCCTCTGTAATTGAAAAGGAAAATGACTTAAAAAGAAGTTTTACATATGCTTATATCATATATTTGTCTATTTGTATGAAATGCTAACATGCTGTTCTGCTCAGCAAACAAGTTGCCAGAAAATTAAATACGTTAAGAAGTTTATTCCTGAAATGGCATTTATATGTATTTTGTACCAGTAGTTCTCAGCCTTTTTAGACCCAATGGCCCCATTTGGAAAATGCCAGCTTTTAGATTTACTCATTTTTTGATTACACAAAAATGAGTACCGTATTTAGCCAGATACCAGATGATCTCGAATTTAAGAGAACCCCCTCATAATTAGATACTATACACTGGACATTTTAAAATTTCTTATAATTTTCTATGTATGGAATCTAATTATTTGAGAATCATTTTAAACTGGTCCCCCCCACTACTGCAGGCAGTGCGGGGGAGAGAGGTGATGAGGGGAGCAATAAGGGGGCAGGCAGTGGAGAAAGAGACAGTGGGGATAGGAAATACTGGGGCACATGGTAGGGCAGGCAGTGGAGGGAACAGTGGGGAACAGGCAGTAGGTGTGTAGGTGGAAGGGGGTAGGCAGTGTGAAGTCGGTGGGGCAGGCAGTGACAGGCAGGCAGCTTACTCCCTGCCACCTGTTCCCCACATTGTGCCTACCACCCAGCAACCTCAGACTGCCCCAATCCTCCTTCCCCTGCTCTCCCACTTCTCCATTACATGCTGCTTCTGCAGCCTCAGATCTCTATCCCCTCTTCTTCTGGTCTCCTCCCCACCCCCCTCGAAGTCTCTTCCCTGACTTGCCTGCTCCTCTACCTGCCCCGAGCAACTGCAGTATAGTCA